GCTTGGCAGCCAGGAACGCTGCCCTTAACTGTTTGCCATCCTCCTGCTTTGCGGACAGGTCGCGCAATGTCCAACTCACGCTGAAAGCAAGAGACACTCACACAAACGATGTCCGGGGGCTGCGTGAGTTGCAGGAGGCTTCTGCGGGAGTCCGGGGGCCTGTCTGGGGCTGGGTCTTTCGGTGATGTTGGGTTGGCTCAGGGTGCTCAAATTCTTAGCTGACCAATCCTTTAGGAGTGATCAGTGATCCTGTAAGATTGTGAGGTTGATGTGAGCTTGAGCAAGCTGACATGGCGATTGCTTGTGCGCCGGCGGCTTGCGCCCAAGCTTGACCTATTGAGACTGTTCAGGGCACATTCTACATGAAAGGTCCCCCTCTTTCCGAGTTTTTGGTGTTGTTCTGTATGGAGCAAGTGCGGCAAGCAGCAAACTGTGACTTTGATGTGTAAGTGGAGCTGACAAATAGGGGGCTGAACTTGCTTGACTACCTACCGCAGCTACCCTTCTTCGCAACATCAATCCAGTTACTCTGGTGCCACGTCGTTTAATTTTCTGCCGGCACCTGACAAAGGGGCAAACCAGCCTGCCTTGCCTGTTCGGACCTCCTTGTTTGCCAGGTTCCAACATGTCGTTTTCCAATTGAAAGGCCCCTTTGATCATGTCCTGGAATTCAGCCCCCAACGTGGCGGCTTTTCTTTGCGCCGTTTCTGGGCAGATGTATACAAGGTTGTCGGAGCCCAATCTCACCGCCAGTCTGCTCCTGACTGAGGTGCTTGTCCTTCAGCGGCGCAAGCAAATTGCAGGAGAGGTTGCAGACTGGCGAAAGGGCAAATCTGGGATGGAGTTGGACGAGCGAGTTAACCAATGAACCAGCACTTTGCATTCCACTGGCCGTCAAGGTCTTGAGTTGAGGTGCGCTGTGCGCTCTTCATTCGGGGCGGGGGGGAACGCCGCACGGTGGGTATGAGAAGCGCAGCACGGGGCTGCGTCGAAGACAAGGGTCCGCTTTATGTCCAAATCGCCCTTCTCCCAACGAGAATATGTGGACACGCATCCCCATATCCATACCCATGAGTTTGTGCCCACCGCAAAGACAATTCATTCCAGTTGCTTTCCTGCTTCGACTTGAAGACATTTGCAATCGCCCAATTCGCAGGCTTATGTGAAAAATGGGAGTCCCATGCCCATTACAAAACTGGCGCGGTGATGTCAAGTTTCCTGCAGGCTTCAAGACGTTTCACGGCCGTCTCGGGCAAGCTGCTAGATTCAGTTTTCTTTTGAGCTGAGGGAGTGGGAGAGAGATAGAAGGCTTGACGGATGTTCTGCAAGCATTTCAATCATGAAGGGAACCATGACCATGACCCACAGAGGTCGTTTACCACAGCTCAACATGCGGATGCCGTGCTTGCAGGAGGCGTCCATTTTGACGCATCTTTGCATCTTCCGGCGGTTCGGGTGGCCCTAGCGCCTCTTGGCAGCATGCAACGAAGTGTTTGGACATGCTTGATCTTGATTGTCAAGCATTTGCTTTGGCGCGACGGACGGATCCTTGACAGCATCTCAGAGGGCGCGGTGGTAAACAAGTTGTTTTGCGCTCAGAAATGCCTAGCGCCAGTTGCCCCATGATAGCCCCAAGACCCTTGAGTGGAACTGGCCCATCAACCAAGTCCACCACCAGCAAGCAATCACTGGCCAGCCAACGGGCCGGTGTCCAACTAGCCTGCCAGACAGCTGGCTGGATGGCTAGCTAAGCTACCAATTCATTGATGACCCAATGTGCCAAGCAACTTACACAAATGAAGCGATGGCTAAATGCATCCACCAATGAATGACATACTGGATTGAGACTAAATCGCACCAAGCGAAATGAGATGACATCAGGTAACCTGGCGTGGCATAGAACATAATTAATGATTCATGAATGCATCAATCAACCAATCCACAAATCCAGCAGTATCAATCCATCAATTCATACTCTATTAATAAAGCCATCAATCAATCCAGGTGTTGTCTTTGTTTCGCGCTTCCTTCAAACATTCAATTATTGTTTTCTTCATGAATGTGTTGGCGCGTGAATGTATGGGAGGGAGGCTGGCAAGATTCAGCAATCCATCAGCCAACCAACCAATTCGCCTATGAACCAACCCACCTGCCAGCCAGTCAGTGACTCAGTCAATCAGTCAAGCAGCCGATCAGCCAATCAGTCAGTCAGTAAGTCAATGCACCGATCAATCGATCTGTCAGTCACTCACTCACTCACTCAATCCATCGATCCATCCACCAATCAATCAACCAACCAACCAATCAGCCAGCCAGCCAGCTCAGCCACCTAGCCAATCAGACAGGTATTCAGACAGCCGGCGAGACAAGAAACCAATGGCATCAGTTGCACCTGCTCAGCCAGCCAAACGTCCTGCGTGCCAGCCAACCACACGGGTAGAAAGTTGCTGTCCGACCAACCGAAGCTGTCAACCACCAGCAAGCCAGCACAAACAACAGCAGCAATGCTGATTGAACATTCCTGCCAAAAAAACCAGCAGTGTGACTGTGGGGAAGCTTCAGGTCCCTGCTTTGGCTTTGACAAACCCAGATTTCTCTAGTGGCTTTGAATTGTTGAGATGCCCTGCCCGTCAGTGTGGCCCAAGACGGGGCCATGTGTTAGAGTGTCATGGCCGCATGTTTGGTTGTCCACTCCCTTAGTTCGGTTCGCCGCCACTCCGAGGGGTGACCGCGATTTGATCAGACCAATGTCAACCTTTCAGTTTCCCGACTTGAGTTTTCTCTTTGGTGCCCCCAAATGTTGACGCCCTGATTGATTCCGGATCGTTGATAGCGAGCTGCTTGAGACGACGGGAAGCAGAGGCCAGCCAGCTGCCACGCCCTCGCGGAGGTCTTGCTGTCTTTGAGCCAGGCCGGGCGTGCGATGGATGCGGTTGTTCGGAGGCTCCGTGCAACGCTTGGATTTCTGCAGTATATGGCCTCTGTCTACTTGTTGCAAGCAGCTTGCCATGGGCTTACATAGTGGGGTGATGGGTTGTGCCATGGGCCCTGTCTGGGCAAGTGATGGTGACTTGATCCCGTGCACCGCAGTTGCTGGCCATGAGCAACTGACTATGCAACATCGTTGCACATGTGTGATAATCGTGTTGCAGCAATCTCCCGTATGTCTCAGTCATGTTGCTTTCTTTGGCCTTGGCCCTGGTGAGCTGGTATGATCAGAATTCCCGATGCATGTTTGAGAGCTTATCTTGCGACCAGGTGTTATCAGTCGGCGGTGGAAAACCATGCGCTACTGGAATAGTATGTATTTCCGCCTCCGGCCCTCCTTCGGGTTGATTGGGTTGTGAGATGTCGGGAGCAGATGCCCCTCCTGGGCCCCCTAAAGCCAAACACGCCAAACCTGCGGCTGGTTCGCCTTTGATCGCCCTTCCTAGGCGTTGCGGCCGCTCGGCAAAACGGAGGGGCCTACGTCTTAGGGTTGAGGTGGTCAGCCCGAGGAGCAGGTTTTGCAGCCGACTTATGATAATTGGTGGAGAGGTGGTTTGTAATTCTGTGTCAAGACAAGTTGGATTTCATGTTATGTCCGGGCCACTCCGAAAGGACAACGGCATGAACCCCCTGAAGTGCGCTGAAGGGGCACAGCAGGTGGCCAAATGGCCAGCCTTTAAGCTAGCAGCTATAGTCATTGGGACAGTTAAGTGATGCTTCTCTGCTGAATCGAGAAGGTCTACCGGGGACTCTGTTTTCATGCATGTTGTGCACGCATGAGGATTTGTGGTTTTGTACACGTGCAACACATGTTCTATGCTGCATTCCTAGGAAACGCGGGTCAGTCAGTGGATGTTCGTGGTTGTTTGGGCCAGGCTGCTGCACATGCACACATTTCGATTCTGGCACAACTTGATGACATGATGCCACTTTTTGGCACAGCATGCAGTTCATGCAATGAGGGGCAAGCAGCCGTTCAACATCACGTAGTTCCAAGAATGCTTAATTACAAAGCAGATTGCTGGATTTTGCTCCGGTCGTTGGACACCCCACCGCTGAAATTTGCGCCAGCAGTTGTTGAGCAGACTTATGGGCATAGGAAGGCGCTGACAGAAATTAGATGAGCAGTTTCAAGTGGCAGAGCTTTGAAACTTTAACCGGACCTTATTCTCTTGGTCACTCATGCAGCATAGAGAGTGATTGCGCTTTCTGAGGTCTGAAAAAGTGCCAGACATCGAGGACTGGGAAAGCTGGCAAGCTCGTGCAGGTCAAGCTGCCGTGCAAATCAGACACAAGCCCGAAAGGATCAGCGTCCCCTACTCACGCAGCTCACAGGTTGGTTGAGAAGGCAGTGGGTTGTTGTTTGCTCTGAATCGCATACTGCGCATGCTAGTAATTCAAAACTGGTTTTCGAAGCATTGTCAATCTGGACGGCAACTTTGTTACACGCAATTAAGGGACTCAAGTTTCGCGTTGGCATGACACGTGCAATAGCTTCAAAGCTCCCAGAATCCAAACGCATCTCTTGATAGGGCCACAGTTGTGGCCCAGTCGTAGCCGTGGCCCAGTCGTGCCCGTCCAGTCCAGCTTACACCGATGATTTGTTCCAACGAATCGTACATTTATATACATTTATATGGACCGCGTCAGGCATGGGAGCTACTCATTGCCAAACCCCCTTTCCAACCCCGGGGCTGCAGGTGGCCATTGCTTTGGGCGCAGCCGCTAGGTGCAGACCGGCACAAAAACGACGGCCGGAAATTTTCGCTGGTCGCCAGCATACGGCTGGACGGGATTCTCCCTTGGAAGGAGCTGGAGAAGTCCTCGGAGAAGGCGGAGGAGAGAAGTCTGTTGCGGGTATTTTTCATCTCCTAGACCCTCGAGTTGCCTTCAATGAGAGTGCGACGCTTGGTCATGGGTGTTTCCTGTCCAAACAGGACTTCCTCATTGAAATGGTTGTTCAAAGGGGCAAGGCAAGGGTAAGACCATGATCAGAAAAGGGAACATTGAACATGAACGCTTGCCAGCCACACGGTGCTCTACCGTTGGCATCCCTTGCTGCAAATATTCGTTCCCTTGACGCCAGCTCAGCCATCTTCAGTGCCAACTCACTGCCCGCGCGAGCCATGGATTGGGCCCGCTCCAAGCTGTCCTCCGCCTCCTCCGCGGGCCGCCGCGCGGTCACGGCGATACGCGGCACCTCGAAGTCGCCCAAGGCGTCCAGCGGTGCGCCGCATCCCATCCCGCCAGGCGCAGAGGGCTCGAAGTGCCACAGCCCGGCGCAGGGTAGGGGAAACTAGGAACATGCAAAACAGCTGCTGCCAATAAGGAGGGAACAACGATGATAGGAACACGTTAGAGGAGAAGAAGTGGTGCGCGCAAAATGGATGCGAATTGTTAGACTTGGTGTTGTTTTGCAGTGCCTCAAGGCCGAGAGCGTTGCCACTTGGCTTTGCTCACAGAGCAAAACCTTGATCACGGACATTCGTTTCTTGGAAGAGGACAGTCAACCCAACCTCACCGAGAGTAAACAACCAGCCACATCCAAGCGCCAGATGTAAAACCAATACGCATTCTTCAACCAACTGCCAAGTTTGTGATTCTCAACATGGGCGGAAGAAAACAGCGCCATGGCGAAGTGTTGTCACGATATGTGTTGCGGTTCTGGCTGTCTCGGCTATTTTCAGCTGTTGTGTCTACCCTTTTTGTGCAAGCACCGTAAATTCAAATCTTGCTATGCAAGTCAAGCAAGACTAGCTTACGCGCGACGCTCCCCGGGCCAGAGGTTTCCTGTTACATTGCTGGTGCCTTTGGTTCCAGTCATACGGGTGCCTTCCTTTGGCTTGGGCCTGAGCTCGGCGGCTATCTCTTTTGGATTTAATCGTGTCTCCGGATGGAGGTCCAAGTTTGCACAAAGTGGGAAAGCGTCGAGATTGTTTTTACCGCACGAGTAACGCCTGAAACCGTGTAGCCATGCAAACAGATAGGCCGCCTAATGATAGGCCCCGTGCAGAGAACCATGGCCGCAGAGGGACAGGCAGAAGTTTGGACTGCACAGTTCAGACTAAAATATGGTCAGCTGGCGTGCGTTTAAGTGTCAACCTTTGACGCCGCAGGAAAGGAGAACATGCCTTGTCCCATCAACGGCATGTTCCTGAATTCCGTTGAGGCGGACCGTGCTAGGGAGGCCGCAGATGCACTGCGGGATATGGAGAACGACCCGGACATTGTTGAGGACCGAAGCCTGGATTGCCCGCATCGCGAGGGAACGGGGCCAGACTAGTTGGTAGATAAACGTAAGTGCCTTACAGCAATGTTTGGATGCTTCCTGAAGCAGGACTCGCCTGGACAACTGGTAAACGCCGCCAGAACAAGCTTACTACATGCACATATTAGCAGAGTTTGCGTGAGGGTTCTGCGTGGCGCCACGGGGTGTATGGGTGCATTTTGCCCAAGATTGCCCAAGAGAGGGAACCCTCGAGTGGGTGCTTCTCCTCTGGAATCTCGTTAAAACGGCCACAAGCATCTTGCCCTCAGAGGAAGCACGCACACCCACACACACACACACATGCTATTGTTGATGCCTTGATATTCGCCGAAGCACTGTTGACGGGCTGGAACCCGGAACTCTTTCCAACGTGATTCCGGGCTCTTTACAGGTTTCCCGGGCCCGAAACCCTAGATTTTTTTGTTGGCTAGATCTCAGCCTGCACACACCACAAATCGCTCGCCCCACAAATGCAATCTCGGGGAATCCGGAAAGCTGCACAAGGCCATTTGGTGGCTTTGCTCCAGGTTTGAGACTCGGGCATCGGTGCTTCCCTTGGCGTTTTTTGATCCAACTCCTTTTGCCTACCCTCAGGAGCGCCGGGCCAAGGACAAAGTGCCCGAGCTACCTTTGAGCGCCTGGGTTGGGCATGGCAGTGTGGACCCGTTTTGACTGCTCGGTGTGGTTCCGTTTTTGGAGGGTACCTGTCTTCGAAGCAATGCGGTTTCAAGGGAAGCCCAAAAGAAGACAAAATGGACAACCATTTTGAACGTCCCGCCCCAAAAGAAGAAACACCCAGCTGAGGTGTAAGAACTGCTGGTTTTGCCTTTCAATACTTGCGGGCTTCTTTAAGAATGGCAAGGGCGCTGAAATGGCGCTCTTGTACTCAGAGGGCATTTGTCGACCGGCTGCAAAGAAATCATATTCTTCGAGAGAGGGGCTTAATGAACTTTGGCACGGCTTCCAGAATCAGAAGACGCCACTGGCCAGCTTCCTCCTATGGAAAGCGAGGAGTTAGAGGATGCTAGAAGGTTCTGACAAGGGTAAAACTACGGCCAGCCCCTGAGGTTTGCCTGCGCCCCGAACCAACACCCCGACACAAAAACCCAAACCTAAACCCAAAAAAACGTAAATCTAAACCCTAAAAACCCTAAACCTCAACCCTAAAAACCAGAAACCTAAACCCTAAACACCCTAAACCTAAACCTTACAACCCTAAGCCTAACCCTACCCTAAAACCCTAAACCTAAACCCTAAAAACCTTAAACCTAAACCCTAAAAACCCTAAACCTAAACCCTAACACCCTAAACCGAAACCCTAAAAACCCCAAACCTGCTTGCAGAAACCTAAGCCCTAAAAACCTAAACCTAAACCCTAAAAACCTTAAACCTAAACCCTAAAAAACCCCAGACCTTCCTGCTACCCACGCCTCGTGGTACCACGGAGCCACGTTCTGAAGAGAACGCAGGTCACCACGTGTCAAGTATGGCTGCACGAGTTGTGCTACTTGAGTAGTAAAGGGTGCCATACTCGAACCACGTGCTGGACAAGGGTGGATTAGGGGGTGCCGGCAAACCACGGGGGCTGTGGGTAAAATTAGCGATGCTTTTCAGTGTCCGATCACATTCGCGGAGAGAGAAGGGGATGCTAAGTTGCCTAATGAGTCACATGGCCTTTCTGCTACGGCGTCGTCCTGACTCCCGTGTTTCCCTCTCAATCCGCTCCTGAAAATGCAGAGCTGCGCTCACGCTCGGATGTGGAAGTTCCTTTTTTCGCGCTGCCGTTTGGGAAGGCAGCGTGTAGCATAATTGTGCTATTGGTTTTTTCAGTTGGCTTTGGGGCACGTGCTGAGGACCTCAGCCCGGACCCTTTGTGCCCCTGGAGGTGCGGCATCGGGTTTCCGAAACTGGGCGGTCTAGCGAACTCTGGCTGTGAGAATCGACTGGCAAACCCGGTGGAGTCGGAGTTCATGTTTTCGGGATCAGGTCGGGTTTCCAGTGCCATCCCAGATTCCAGGAAGTCTTGGCCGCGAGCTGCCCTAAAGGTGTACAGCTTCTGAACACATGTAGCGGATGTTGAGGTTCCTCCACCGCTTTGAGACAAACCTGTCCAACTCTTTGCAGATTAAGCCCCATCGCTCCTTCTGTTTCGCCAGGTGGTCCAAGGCGCCCACCGGCCCTCGGCCGCGACACGTGCGATGGTGGAGCGAATTGGGGGCATCCCCAGGCTGCAGCAGTTTACTGAGAAGTTCTACGAGCGGAGCTTCGTTGACCCCCATATCGACAGGACCGGTGGGCTCATGTCACATGAAGTCCGAAAACGGGCGGGGACACGAATGCTCTTTGCCTTCCATGCAGATCATCACCTTCCCTTCCATGCCCTTTCCCTTCCACTGGGGGGCTCAGTGTGAAAATTGCAAAATGATACCATTGGTTGGGGGGCCGGATGTTCAGACAGCATTTGGTTGGGAGCAAGAGTGTGCCGTTGAGCCCCCTCTGTTTTACGATGTCCTGCTAGGCAGCAGCAAGCACCAAGCTAGCCGACAGGAATATGTGCGACTAGTTGGCCCGGACTCGTCGATCCACAATCCAACTTCAGTGATGGCCACGCACCGCTCCCCGGGCTCTTCCTTCTCGAAGATTCACACCGCCGTAGGTGTTCACCAAGGCACTCACGACCTTGTCAAGCTCGCGTTCTCCTTCGGAACAAGCTCTAATGACCAAAAATTCTTGGTGGGCAGCTTTAGCATCAATTCTGCCTGAGTGTGCTCGGACAACTCAAGAGTAGGGTCTAGCTAGCTCTTTCAAGCTTCCCACCATGCTTTCCGTGAGTCAAGGAACGATCTAGCGCTCTCCTGGCTGGTTGAGGTTTACACTCGAGCCTCTCACCCTCCCTGTTTTTCTCCCCTACAATCTTTCTCAACACCCTCCTCCTGCCTCCAAAAAAAAAAGGACCCCCCAGAAAACAATGTCCTTTGCCTCTAGAAAGCCGATCAACACCTCCCCCGAGCAAGCGCCAGGTTCATCGCCGAGCACTCGGAGCCCCACGGCCGGCGCTTTGCCTTCTGGATCGCCGAGAAGTTGGGCTGCGGCACGCCCTGGACGGAGGAGCGGCGCACGCGGCCCCGGCGCCTTGGAAGATCCGGCCGCGGCCGCGACCTGGGGGACGCTTGGGACGCCTTTCGGGGGTGTTGCAGTGGACAGAAAACCCCCTTGCTTTCCGCTCAGTATGGAGGATACTTCTTGGGATCCGCCAAGTGGTAAGAGAAGTGCACGAAGTTGTTTAATGAGGCTGCGCATGCATGCTGAACCATGATACGCATGTATTTAGGTGCTTTTCGTCCAAACGTTTGTTCGCTATGGACAAAGGCAAGGGCTCGTTGGCTTGGAATGCCCTTGTCATGCAGATAGTTGAAAAGCAGGCAGCTGACCGAACCACCTGCCAAGTACGGGCAATTGTTTTGTCCTGGTTTCATGTTTAGCTTGAGGGGTGGCAAAGAAACTTGGCCATCGGCAGAATGTTCAAGGCGATGCTCGCTTGTGCCTGAGGAAGTACATGCACTTTGGGGACGAGAGGATGCAGGCAGGTGCAGACTGGCCGATAAGATCCTCGCGACCCAGCAGCTCCACGGGTAAAGATCGAAGTGTTGGTTTGACACAAAGTGACAAGCCGCCCATGCGAAGACGCACTTGACGGGCAAGGTGAGGTTGTTTCGGTTGCTCGTTGTTCTGGACCGACGTGAATGGATCAAAGGTGTGCAAGAATGAGCCGAACGCCCCCCGCAACCATAAAGTGGCAAAGTTTATGGATCTTGGGATCACCAGGTGAGCCACGATCGAAGCTCTGCCCACTTTGCGGCATGGTACTCGCCCAAGCGCGAGGGGCACAAGCGTGGCCTGCACTTCGTGCCGGAGGACTTGGCTGCAATTGAATGATTGCCTACCAAGAAACAAATCAGCATTCTTGAACATGTTGGAATACAGGGGGTGGGCCCAACCTGGAGGATGCTCGAGTTTGGATGCGTCTGCACTTCTGGGCGGCCCGCGAGACAGGCAGCTGGATTCGGGAGAGCCCGTTGAATGCACACGTTGAACTTGATTGCAAATGCTGTCCATTCATCTCAACGACAGGGTCAGCACCCAAACCAGTTTCCTTGCATTGGCTTCGTTCCCGCAAATTTTTGATGCGCCCAAGGTCCTGCTTGTTGTCTCTCCCAGCCAGTTGTTTGAGTTAGTTAACCAGCTCCCTGAAGCATTTTGGCCGGCCAGGCCTCTTCGATGAACACCCGGACTTCATGGACTACTACATGCGCTTCATTGGTCACTTCGTGAGCGCCGCTTGGCAGTTTTTCTGGGCAACCAGAAGGTTGCAGCAGGGAGGTTTTTGCGCGGTTGAGCACATGCAGCTCTTAGGTTTACAGTTTTGAGGGGCCCGCGGTCTGTCAGGAATCCTGATGTGATTGCAAGCTCAGAAGGCCTAGAACATCAGTTGCCTGCTGCTTCAAGCAGAGGCGCCCTTTGCGAACCCTCGTGACTGAAATGTTGCAATGTGGATCAGGCTCCTAGTGCCATTTGAAACACTGACGATCCATTGGACTGAATTTGCTCGTGGCAGTTTCTTTGACGCCATGCTCCTAAGCTGTTCATCTGTGTCGGCAACGTATCAACCATTGTCTGGCTTATGCAACAGGACAGGACGTTTTTAGCAGCTTGTCCCTTTTTTAGCATCAGGCAGTTGGCCAGTACCCATCATCCCGCAAGAGCAGTTTTTCAGCCGCCTTTCTCTTGGAAGCTTCAGCTTCCGCCCTTCGGATCTTGGCAGCCGTCCGTGCAGTTTTTTTTTGCCCCAGGTTTACTCCAGCAAGTCGCCGCCTTTCACACGCGAATCGGCACGATGGTCCGCAGATCCCAAGAACATTCAACGCTATTTGGAGGCCGATCGATGCACATGGCACCTGAGGTTGCACGGCTGTTCTTAATCAAATCTGGATCGTGCCATTGTCGGAACCCTAGCTGCTTCCGGCTTGATCCTTAAACAAGGGTTTCGAACCACCAGTGCAAGGCTTTGCAAAGAAGCAAGCATTACTCTCCAGGGCTCTAAGCTTGACTGGTTATTTCTTATCTTAATGAGCTGCACGAAGAGTTGTGTTTCCACTCTTGGCAATGTAACAGATGGTTTTACCGCTGTGAATCCTTGGTGCCACAGGTGTTCAGCTGCCATCACATTGTATAGGAGCTTGCTGGCATTGGTTGAAGCGGCCTCACAGTGTGCATGCAGGGGTTGGTTGTACAGGAGGAGCAGTAGCACATTTGCCAAAATTGCTCTGCAGGGAAAATATTGATTTACAGCTTCGGTTGCTTCCACGTTGGAACCATGAATTCGAAGATTGAGCGGCTTTCAATTCAGAGCGTTTGCTTTTGGTCAGTCTTGTGCCCAATGCTTGCCAGGCAGGAAACCGCATGACTGACGTGTTGGGCAAGGACGTGGAGGAAGAGCTGCGGAAGCTGCCGGCGGAAGAGAGGCAACGATGGGCAAGATGTGACTACAACACTTCGCTTGACAAATTTGTTGTAGCCGATTTAGCTGACAATTGTCGAAATACTTGATCGCCCGCATTGTAGCAAGGACCTTCCTTTCCCTGCTTTTGACTCAAGGCAGGCAGGCAGTTATGTGCTTTATGTTGTAGCGCGCAGCCCTGGCCTGCAACACACTTAGGATTGAGACAGACCGAACTTCCTAATGCCATGCTATGCAACTTCAACCAGATGTTTCTTTGACAGCCCGCTGCGGCCAGTCAGTCTTTGCGAGGATCTACACAGGATCGCGGGCTGCGATCCCTTCTTGGCCATACAATCAAGCGTGACTGCAGGGCAAGGCGGGAAAGGGTCAGACACACATTTGCCATGGACTCATGCTTGTGGCCACAGACTTTTCCTGATGCGCGCAATGTAAAACATGGTGTTGATGACGTGGTGCTGTGTCACAAAAGTCTCTACTGCTGTGAGCAGAGCGACCTTCATCAGCTGGGGGCAGAAACAACTCATGAAGCCAGGTTACTTCAATGGTGTCTTGTTGTTCTTGTCGAACATCAATTTGTCCATCTTTTTGATAGTGGGACGTAAGCCATGTGAAGCTGACGCTTCCGCTGCGTGGCCTGCAAGTCCTGCTCCATGTGCAAGGGGTGTCAAAGTCGCACACAGTCCTCTGGCCAGTTAACCAATACCGAATATGTTCAGGATGTTCAATCCACCTTTTCCCTTTCGCCACCAGTGTTTGCATTTTGCAGCCAAGTGGTCACGGCCTTTATTGTGATGTTTACCTCGTCCCACTGCCGTATTTTGTTTCCATGAGCAACTCAAAACAGGTTCCTTCCCCTCCATGGCCACCAGGCCAAAGCTGAGCCAAGCCGCGGAGCTGAGGGAAGTGAAATGATCTGCGCTAATCCGCGGACGGAACTTTGTACAGGGGCCAGCCAGGAAGAGCACGTGCACTTGAGAAAGTATCGCAACCAAATGGAATTCTCCGTGCAACTGGGTGTTTCTGCAGCAATGAGGATGCAGCACAAGAAGGCGGACCAATGTTTCCCGCAATTTCCGGCATCAAAAGAGAGACCAACAAAACACCAAGCAACTGTGAAGGGCGCGGTTGAGATGTGGGAACACAGCACGGTTTGTACTTTCCTGTTGGCAGTCGAGCAATCAAACAGTCGCAGAGAAGCTTTGCTCGCTGCTGATGAAGGATTGCTTAGAACCCAGTGGATAGTTTCCAAGAGTTGCTCGTCAGTCTGCCAAGAAGTTGTGTGACCGTCTTCAACTTAGATGCTTGTACCATTGGCAAAGCACGCGGAAGCCGTCATTGACGCCCTCTGCATTTTGAATGTCAGCAAGTGCCGTGACTCTGTGGAAAGGCCAAAAGCGAGTGTGACTAGCTTGGATCCTGGAAACATTATGGGTCGTCGCTAGTCCAGCTTTTTGGCTGTATGTGCATGGCAGCCTTTTGTGCGAGGGGTCATGCCTGCCATTCGCTTGGGCCCGGGAGATATTCTGAGTCCTTGCTATTATCGCATCCCCTCCTGCTCGAGCAGCTCAAGGCTTTAGCTTTGCACAAAGTTGGTTGCAAGAGCTACGCCCTTTGTTGACCGCACCTCGTTTCGGCAGGATCCTGCTGTGTTTGAGGGCTGGCATGGGCATGTTCAGCTTTTGACATTTGTGTCCGAAGGCAATGTGGTGCACACGTGTTTGACTTGTTCTTAGGTAGGTTGTATTTGTGCGTATTGACTGATTGTCCCAAGTATGTCTTATGGTCCCGGTTTTCTACTCTGAGTTGCCCAAAGATGCCCAAAGCATGCTGTTTGACCATTCAGTTCCTGGAACCTGTTCATGCTTGGCAAACGCAGCCAACAAGGTGTATTTGTTTATTTCCAGGTCTTTGAGTTGCAAGTGGAAGGCATTATGCCGGTTTTTCAGGCCAGGGCTAAAGCTGAGCAAAGGCAATTAGTGGGCAGTGAGTGGAACTGCGCTGAGCGGCGAAAGCAATTGTGTACAGGGGTCATCCACGGAGATTGCAAGCTTGTTTTAATGTTGATACCCGCATGCACACACACACACATACACACACACACACACACACACACACACACACACACACACACACACACACACACACACACACACACACACACACACACACACACACACGCTGAAACATCGCAAACCGGTTGGAGGGCCGTGTTGAGACGGAGCCACTTTCATATGTGCCACCGTGTGTTGTGCATTCAGCTAGTGCCCAGTGGAATAAATATGTCCTCATGCAACGTTGTAGCCCTATATTCACTCCAAAGCCGAACGGGCATCATTGAATGTCATTTATTGCCGCGACTCTGTGGAAAGGCCATTGCGGGGCTAGCTTGGACCCTGGACATATTATGGGTCCTCGCTAGTTGATTTTTTTGTCTGTATGTGCAAACGGCTCAAGGCCACTCTGCCGTGACCTGCTTTTGATTCGCAATGTTGACATTGCTGGTTGCAGAAGCTGCGTCCTTGTGAGATGCCAATTCCGTTTTCGACACGCAGGTCAATGCAATGCACAGTCTGCTTTACTGATTCTGATGTAGCATTCGTGGGTGCAGAAGCATCTGGCTTCTGCGACGCAAATCATGCTACGTGACGTTGAGGCTGACGAGCAATCTTTCTCACAGGATTGGCTCAGCATCAGCTTAGTCAAAAGCACAGGGGCGTGTGCTGCTCAGGTTTCCTCCTGCTTCGGATTCATGTGTCTGTATGGGAAACAAGTTGTGCATACGGTACGCGTCTTGCTTCTTAAATGCTGCCAGTGGCAAATGAGGGCCAATCAAGAAGATAGCTTCCGTCTGACATGTCGAACGGCGGTGGAGGCAATTTGGCAATGCCTGCGTAATCCTGGATGGCTTCGAACGGAGGGTGGTCCCTGCCCACGGCAAGATAAGTGCACGCACCTTTGTTGCACTCAAGTGCCACATGCTCCAGCCCGAAAGCAGTGACGGCTAGGCTTCGGAAGGCACCCATTCATGTTTGCAAGAGGAGGCAGCTACCGTGTACTGCTAAAAGCCGTTCTTTTGCATCACATGCTGAGATAATGATCTCTTCAACTTCTGCTATCTTAAACCGCCACTCGACCACGTAGATCGGAGTCCTGGGTGGCCGGGTTTGTGCAGATCCGGCTCGCTTGGACGGAACCCACGGCCCTGTGATGAGCGAAGGAGCCTCCGCTCTCACCTCGGCCACCCTCCATGGCCCAATGCTCAGCTTTGCCGGGCGAGTCCGCATGGCGGTTGTATTGAATCGCGCTTCGCACTTCGGCCGGGGGTCAGGGGTTATTAATGGGAATATTGAGGTGTCTGGATTCAGGGGATCGACCACACTACTTGCATGTGGTGATTGTGCTCAAGCTGCGACTGGCTTTCTCGATGAGGGTTGCTGCAGCTGGGACATGTTCGACCTCACGGGCGACCAAACCTTGTGCGCTCAAAGTTGCAACCCACCTCTTGGGAGTCTCTGAAGAAACCTACGGCGTATGTTCCGCGCAAAGCGTTTGAAAGCAGAACCTCATGAACATTCCAAATCATCAGATCTCTCACCAGGGGATACCAGGGGTACATAGCCCAATTGCTAAGCGGGAAATACCGACCGAGCTCCCTGCCACAGCCCTGTCCCGACATGCCTCCAGGTTCAGTCCCTGGTCTTCCAGCAGGGCACCCAAGCGGGTGATGGGAGCTCGTTAGGGAAGCGGACGCGCTGAACGAACAGAAGCCCGAAAGACAATTCGTCAGGGCAAGGAGTTTCGCCAGATGTTTCTGCCATGAGATCTTCAAAAAGGAGGATTTCCTTTGAGCGTCCGGTTCCAGAGAATGTTTCCTGCTCGGGTTGGAGCCCTTCACGCTGCGTGTTGCTGATTTCAGTAAACCTACTGTTTGCACCTTTGCCTCAGCATTCAGACTGATGTACATTCCTTGATTCATTCTTCGCTCTGTGCTCCTTGCTGCATGGGATGGGGGCAGCTTCCCAGGTATCTCCAAGGCCAGGGCTCCCATTCTCTTTGTTGAAGAGCTGATCAGCAGACGGGTCCGTGCCACACACCAACACCGAACAGGTCGTATTCGTTCCCGCGAGGGCTTTCCACACTTTGATGGACAGTTGTGTGATATGACAACGTTTCGCCTCTTGTCCAGCCTGCAAAGTGACAAGATGCCAAGCCCACGGAAGAGATTGGATTCTTGAAGTTCTTTGTGTTTGTTGAGCCTTGGCTCCATGTGACTTTGTCTCATTGCCCACACTTGGGATGCTCAGGCCCGAGACTACGAGCAACATTTGGCACGACCTCTACAGGCTCTTTGAGGCATCAGTGAGCAGCGCCACTTGCCGGAGTTGCGCCTACGACCCTTCACAGCCTTCCCTTGGGCCAAAATGGTTGAGGTTACATGGCGACATAGCCAGAAAGTTGACCGATCTATGACATCAATCAATCAAACAAACATACACGCACAAACACGCTAACCCATAAATACACAAATCATATACATACACAAAATCATTTAAATACACACTTTTTTTTTAAAGCCGGAATGTCGCTTAAGCTGTGTCGAACAGTTGGTAAAGCTACGCCGAACATAAACCTAGTTTAGTCAAGATTAGTCGATCGCAGTTATTGGTGAGTTGAGGTTACCCGAACACGTGGCTAGGGTGAGCCGGCAAGTTAGCAATGTCTAGCCAGTAAGTTGCTTAGGGCTTGCCGAACTGTTGCTCAAAGCCAGCCAAACATACAAGGTTTGCTGAGAAGATGGCTAAGGTGGGTAGACAAGTCAGCTAAGGTCAGCCCAACAGTTGAGTAAGGTTAGCCCAACAGTTAGATAAGGTTTGCCGAACAGTTAGATCGATTTAATAATTCTTAGTTAATGCTAGCCAAACAGATGGCCAAATTTTGGTGAACGTTAGTCGACGTTTGCCAGTAGCTGCATTGAATATAGTAGATAGGCGAAGGTCAACCAACCAGCGCTACTCAAGGTTAGCCCAAGAGTGAATGAAGGTTATAGTCGTTATTAAAGGTCGGCCGAACAGCTTGTGAAGGTGAGTCGGGTAAAACACCACCTCCCCCTCTCACACTCCCCCAGCAAACCATGACGAACACGCCTCGCCCATTTGCCTTAGCTTGGTTTGGGTCTAGCACAGGGATCACCGGATTCTGGTGTCCGAATCCCGCAAGTCAGTCTATATGTTACTTTGCGTTGCTTTTCCTGTGAGAGTTCGGGCAAGCTAGCGGTTCAGTTTCGTCTCGGGGCTTTACCTTCGGTCGGCACAGGTCTTTTCCAGCCCCTCTCTAGGATCCTGGTTTTGGGAAACAACACCTCCTACCCGGACAGCGAAGAATTGTTTCGCTTCGTGGCCACCTGTTGATTGATGGATTCGTTCGAGCTTGTAGGGCTTATGTGACCCACTTTCTTGAAGGCTGAATGATCCTAGTGCGGCACACCAAACCCCCAGGCCAATCCCAATCCAAACCAATTTTAGGCCAAATCCAAAAACAACCCATCGGAGCCCAACACACTTTGCACCCAAATCAAGCACATCACATCCAAATCTTTAGCCGCAGCCTTTCACCAAAATGGGATGCAACCGAAGTGAGGGGAACTTATGATGTTTCGCCCCCTGCTGCTTCGGAAGGCAGACGCCCAGCTGGATGCGGCCACAGAAGGCCACAAAATTCACCGCAGTCGCAGCCCAGGGTGCACCACAGTGCTTTCCTCAGGGATGTCAGAAACGTGGGCCCCTTTTGAGTACGCGGGTGTTGAATGCGTCAACCCGCCCAAACAAGACTTTTTAATTGGAAGTGCTTGCTTGTCATGCTGTTTGGCGACCACTGTTTTTGCAAACTGCCAGTGAAGCAGAACTTGGGAATGCCCAAGCATGATTAAGGCTGATACATTGTCATGTTGGGCCGGTGTGGTTGGCAAAGCATGCGCTTCCCCAAGCATGACAAAGCAGGGGGATTGCCAGACAGCGGTCCCAGCAGAAACATGAAATGCTGAGCTTCGCACATATTTCATATGAGATCATATGAGATCATATGAGTTTGAATCAAGTGGGGCGTTCTGGGGAGTGTTTTGGGCATCATGGGCATCGCTCCTGGAAAAAGAGTGTCGGCACCATGACTTGTGAAGGGCGACACCGGTTTGTAACATGTGTGTTGTCCCACTTGTGCACCCCAATTTGATTGTGGCCTTTGCTTGAAACATCGCAGCTTCCAAGCAAAAAGGAGCCGACACTTTCAGTTTCTTGCAGTGTAGTGTGCAACTGAAAGCTCACTGCAAGCCGTCTCCCTTTCCTGCTGTTTGTTTTTCTTGGCGCTTCTCCGTTGTTTTTTCCAGATGACTTACCGGCACAAACAAACTCCTCAAGCGCGGCCGTCATAGGGTTGAAAACTTCTCTGGCTTGCTTTTGTCCGCCGCCAGGGGGGTCAGAAGCCGTGGAGGACTGACACGTTGGATGTGTGCAGTGCATTCCGGGTTCTTGTGGGGACCTTGATTCGTGAAGGTTTTTGCGTGTCTGAAGCACATCCTGGCAGGCCGAAGCCAACAGGCCCCCCCGAAACGTTA